TTGTTTTTGTAAAGGTCAATAAAACTGACAAATCTTTGACTGAGAAAAAAAAAAGATTTAAATAAACAAAATCAGAAATGAAAGAGGATGCATTGTAACAGATGCCACATAAATTAAAAGGATTATAAGAAACTACTGTGAGTGATTATATGCCAACAAATTGGATAACCTAGAAGAAATGGATAAATTACTAGAAACAGACAACTACCAACAATGAATTATGGAAATGTAGAGAATCTGAATGTATTTATATTTGTTAGAAGACTGAAACAGCAATCAAACTCTCTCAACAAAGAAAAGCCTAGGACCAGATGGCTTCACCAATGAATTCCATCAGTTAAAGAACTAACGCCAATCCTTCTGAAACTCTTCCAAAAAACTGAAAAGGAAGGAACACTTCCAAAATCATTTTATAAGGCTAGCATGACCCTGATATTAAAACCAGGAAACAAAATTATACGAAACAAAATTGCCTGGGCAATATCCTTGATGAACATAGATGCAACAACTCTAAACAAAATAGTAGCAAAATGATTTCATCAATATATTAAAAGGATCATATACCATAACTAAGTGGGATTTATCCCTGAGATGTCATGATAGTTCAACAGACAAAGGTCAAAGTGATACACCATATTAACAAAGGATAAAAACATCACATAAACATTCAATAGATGCAGGAAAAGCACTTGAAAAAATTCAACATTCTTTTTTCCTTTTTTTTGCAGTTTTTGGCCGGGGCTGGGTTTGAACCTGCCATCTCTGGTATATGGGGCTGGCGCCCTACTCCTTGAGCCGCAGTCTCTGCCCCAAAATTCAATATTCTTTCATGATAAAACCCACTCATATTAGGAACAGCTTCACATGATCTTATATATAGAAAACCTAAAGATTCTACTCCAAAATTGCTAGAACTAATAAATTCAGCAAAGTTGCAAGACACAAATCAATGTACAGCAATGACATTTTTTAAGCCAATTAAGAATGATTATTCTGAAAAAGAAATTAATAATCCCAATTACAATAGCATCAAAAAGGATAAAAGATACTTAGGAATAAACTTGACCAAAGAGGAGAAAGGTTTATACACTTAAAACTATAAAATGTTGCTGAAAGCAATTTCAAAAGACACAGGTAAATGGAAAGGCAAGCCATGTTCAGGAAACGGAAGATTTAATAGTGTTAAAATGTCTACACTGCCCATACCAATTTACAGAGTCAATTGAATCCTTATTGACATCTCGGTCTATTTTTTACAGAAAAAGAAAAAACACTCCTAAAATTCAGGTGGAATCACTGAAGACCCCGAATAACACAAAAAACAATCTTCAGCAAGAATCTGCAGGCCTCACATCCCAGATTTCAAAATATATTGTCTTAAAAAGCTACAGTATCAAAACAGCATGGTATCGGCATAAAGACAGGTACACAGACTGATGGAACAAAACAGAGAGCCAAGAAAATGCCATATATATACGGTCAAATGATCTGCAACAGTGGGCCAAGAACGCACAATGGGGAAAACAGTCTCTTCTTCAACAAATGGTGCTATAAAACTATATGGCTACGTGCAAACGAATGAAATTGGATTGGTGTTTTATACCAAACACAAAAATCAACTCAAAATGGATTAAAGACTCATAAACATGAGATTAGAAACCATAAAATTCCTAGAAGAAAACATAAGGGAAAAGCTTTATAACACTGAACTTGGCACTGATTTCTGGATAGGCCACCAAAGGCACATGCTATAAAAACAAAAAGTAGACAAGTGAGACTACCTATTAAATTTAAAAGCTTCAACACAGAAAAAAAAAATACATATTAAATTTAAAGGCTTCAACACAGGAAAAAATAGCAGCAGAGTTTTCTGGAAAGGTAACCTAGAGAACTAGAGAGAGTATTTGTGAGCCATAGATCTGATATATGGTTACTTTTAATACAAAACATTTATAACAATTAGTGTGTATTTGGTCTTCACACTCATTTCCTGGGACTGAGCTCCTAAAACCCATAAAATCTGAGTGAAATGAGTGTTTTGGTATGCTAATGAGATGACTGAAGGTTAGTGACGCTGAGATAGCCTTAGGATGGGGGCTAGTAGCCAGAAAGACCAAGGTAGGACTAGAGTTTGGGGATTCTCAGCCTCACCCACAACTTCCCAAAAGGGGAAGGAAGGAGGGTCTGGTGCACCAACAGCCAATGCTGTAATCAACCACACTGACATAATGTAGCTACCATGAAAACCCAAAGGGCAGGTACAGGAGAGCTTCTGGAGAGCTGAACAGCTGAACCTGGCAAAGAAGGTCCATGTCCATTTTCCTATACCTTGCCCTGTGCATCTTTCCATCTGGCTCTTCACCTGCACCTTTGTGATATCCTCTATAATAAATGAACCTATGCAAGTTAAATGTTTCACTGAGTTGTGTGAGCCACTTTAGCAAATCAAGCAAACCTGAGGAAGGGATTATGCAGACCCCAATTTATAGCCAGTCGGTCTTATAGGTGACAACCTACTAGTTGAAACTGGCATCTGAAGTGGAGGGCAGTTTTGTGGGCTGAGCCCTCAATCTGTGGGATCTGAAGCTATCTCCAGGTATATAGTGTCAAAACGGAATTGAATTGGAAGCCACCCAACTGGTGTGTGCTGGAGAATTTGGGGTCATGGAAGTAGTCTATATTGAATAAGAGTGTTGTTCCCTGAGCAAGCTAAGGGATGACTAGATACTATGTATTTTTAAAGCTTAAACTGTTGAAAAACAGTTTAGTTTTTTCCTATTTTTAGGAGCAAATGAAAACCATAATTGGACATCAGCTCACATCTGTTAGGATGGCCATTAATAAAGGAAAACAAACAAAGTAAGTGTTACCAAGGACGTAGGGAAACCCTTGAATACTGTGGCTGGGGCATAACTGCTTTGGAAAACAGTATGGAAGTGGCATAGGAAATGAAAAATAGAACTCCTTATGACCCAGAGATCCTGGGTATTTTATCCAAAATAAATGAAATTAGGATCTTGGAAAGATATATTGTACTCCATGTTTGCTGTACCATTATTCATGATAGCCAAGAGGTGGAAATAATGGATGAATGAATAAAGAAAATATGGCATAGGAGTCACCTCTTAACTACAGGGGACACATCCCACACCTCCCTGGGGATGCCTGAAATGGCAGTAGCATCAAACCCCATGTACAGATGGCCCTTGAGCAACAGGAGCCTGAACGGCACAGGCCACCTGTGCTCTGTTTCCAACCAAACGTGGACTGAAAATAAAGCATCTGCATGACACGGAACCAGAGTACATGGAGGGCTGACTTTGCAAACATGTGGGTTCCACAGGGCACACACGTATTTTGGTATAGCCTGGGGCTCCTGGAATCACTTCCCTGACCAGACCAAGGGATGACTGAACACTATGTATTTTTCTATACATACATACTTTTGATGAAGCTTAATTTCTAAATTAGGCACAGTAAGTGGCTAGAAAATAGATCACTATAACAACATGCCAGCATCATGACTTTTTGAGACCATTATTAGTAAAATAAGGATTACTGGAACAAAAGCACGATGATATCATAACTGTTGATAGCCAATAGAGGAAGCTATTAGGGCAGGATGTACAGCACCTGTGTGCTGGACAAAGGCATGAGTCACATCCCAGGAGGGATAGAGCAGGACACAGAGATTTCATCATGCTACTTAGAAGGGCATGCAATTTTGAACTTGAGAACTGTTAATTTTCTAGAATTCTTTCATCTCATTTTCAGACCACAGGCAGCAGGAACTGTGGAAAGTGGAACTGCAGATACTAGGAGACAACTGTGTATCACTAGGAGACGACGTGGTATTATGCAGCAGTAAAAAGGACTGAAATGCTGACACAGGCTACCACAGGAATAAACCATGACAGGCGTGTGCTAAGTGAGAAAAGGCTGTCAGAGAAGGACAAACGCTACATGATTCCACTCACACGAGGCATGGAAAACAAACTCACAGGAAGGAACAAAGTGGAATGTGGTTGCCAGGGACTGAAGAGGGGGTGAGGAGGTGGGATGGGGAACCGCTGTCCAATGTGTACAGGGTTTCTGTGATACAAGATAAAGATTCTCTACATCTGCTGTACCATGGTGCTTACAGTCAACAACACTGTACTGCACATTTTAACATTTAAAGCAGTAGATTTCATGGTACATGTTTTTTATCCCAATAAAAACACTCTTTCCCTAACAGACACCATCGAGGGCAGCGCTGTTTATGCTTTGTTTCTGTCCAGCCCTGATTCAGTGACTGTCCCTTCCTAGTGGGAGTCACAATCCTGCAAGGCCCTGGACAGTGCTACACTCATTCCAGTCAACACACAACCTTCCCACCTGCACCCACACAGAGCTAAGGAGATGGAAACTCCAGGCACTGCCTTTTCAAGGGCGAGAACTTCTAAACTGGACCCCTCCCCACACAGCCAGATTTTGAAACCTGGAAGAAAGGATGTTGACAGGGAATGCTCTGGTCAAAGCTTTACCCAGGTCATTTGGAATATATTTGCATTGTTCAGTATAAATGTTTTAGGATGTGAATGAAAATTACATGTATCCAGCTTAGGCAGGATTGAAATTCAGACAGTTAAATAATATATAAATGAAGGCTATAACTAATCTATGGCATAAACATTTGCTGAAATGGATGCTGCCACAGGTCTGCACCTGCACAGACCATATGAAGTCTAATTTGCCAGCTCATGTTTAATATTTCTTATTGAAAAGAGTCAGAACACAGCCTGTCCACTCGTTTGTATGTGTGCACGTGTGTGTCCACAGAACATTTTTTCACCAAAAGCAAAAAAAAAAAATCTAAGAAATGATTTAAACAATTAAATCAGTTAAACAGTCTTTTGAGAGTTTAATAGGGCTTTGTTGTACAAAGTGAATACCTCTTTGGGTAACTTTGTTTGTCATTTCATAAAGTTTTGAGTTTTATTTATTTATTTTGCTTTTACCTTTTGCAAGTATAGAACTGTTCCCTTCAGTACAGCATAAAAAGTTTTCCATCCTCGCTTTCCTCTTGGAGCTAGAAAGAACGAAAAAAAAAAAAGCATAAAATTTTAATCGACATCAATTAGCATTTTAGAACGAGAATCCAACCATGATGTGTTTCAACATTTCCAGTTTGTTAGCTACTAGTAACAATAAGAACTAAAATTTTTTTTTCTTTTTTTTGCACTTTTTGGCCAGGGCTGGGTTTGAACTCACCACTTCTGGCATTTGGGGCCAGTGCCCTACACAGGCACTGCCCAAAACTAAAATTTTCTTGAGCTTTATGGTGTACAGGCAGTATTCTAAAATTTTTCTCATATATTATTAATCCTTATGATAATACTGCCTGGTAGTTACTATCTACTCTTCTCTTTTTATAAAACTGGAGCGTGGAGAAGTAACCTGCTCCTGGTCCTATAATTAGGAAGAATAGAAGCTGGACGCTGGACCCAGGTAGCAAGTGGCACCAGCTTGCCCTCTACACAGATGATTTACAGCCTTGGAAAGCAAAAAAGGCATCTTAGAAATACATAGTAATTCAGAAGAAAGCTTAAAAGGCTCATGTACCAGATCCCTCGTGGTTTCTTCTAAGTCCCCTAAGAATCATAAAACAGTCTCAGAATATGGAAGGACCACTTTTGGCATTTCTCCCACATCCCCTTAGCCAGATTCTAACTTTAATTATTATTACTCCTACGGCAATCTGTGAATCTCTCTGCTGCAGATCTTGCTGCAATGTAATTTGTTTTGTCTACATGTCTCTGTCACCAGCCTGTGAATGACTTGAGGGCAGGTTACCTTTCATCTTTTGAATTCACAGAACCTAACACAGTGTTAGGTGGATAGCAGGCACCATTATAAAAAATTCTCCAAATTATATCAATTCTTTCAGAAGTCCTTACATTCCTTTTGATTATATTTCTCTGGAGTATAAAATAATATTTCTCTATTGGTTTACATAAAATCTTATAAATTGTTCTAAAGCAAAAGTTTAGATTAATAAAAGTCTTTTTATTCTTAATCTTAATAAAATTAAAATCTGTAACTGGAAAATATTATCACCTGAATATCATAATATCATTTTTCTATACATGTCTATCCAAATATATAGGGAGATTCATTTATTTATTTTCCTTTAGTAAATGCCTGGCTGTCTGTAGGCCTTCTTTAATGGGGATACCTGATTAAATTAGGGAGTATACTACTCTAAACAAATCCTTTAAATTTCTTTTGACTGAATACACATATTTGGGAATTCTTAGGCTTGGAACTAGGTGAATATACACAATACAGGCACTCCTGACAACACCATACTGAGATATGTACCTGGCAAGAAGGGGCTGAAAACATCCGCTCTGCAGGTTTCCAGGGGAAGTAAAAAAAACATCAATCCTTCTGTTTCCACTAGGAGAGGTTTAAAAGTGTGTACTCAAAAATATGCAACCAAAAAAAGATAAGAGTATTTTCTCCTTTGTAAAGAAAAAAAAATGCGACCAGTAAAAACCACAGATCAAATATATAAGAAATAGTGACTATATTGTTTAATAGGTTAGATTCTGATCCTACCCATGTGACAAGTGTGCACAGGGATGTGACTAGGGGCCAGGGGAGCATAGCAGGATCACGGTTGGCCTGCTGTGGGGCAGACGTCAGACTGGGGAGCAGACTAGCTGGTTTCCAGACCCTTCTAGATCTCATTTGGTCTGACACTTAGCCTGTCCTCCACCAACACCTAACTGGATAATTCCCAACAAGTTAGTCAACGTGCTTCATTTTAAAAAGTGAGTAATTCACACCAAAGCACTAGCTAGTGATGGACGAGAACTTGGGAGAAAACCCTTTTGTTTTCTGTTTGAGACCACAGGCCCTGGAGTTTAAAGGCTTTCCCTGAAGTCTCAGAGCTAGATTAGCAGCATCCTGAGATCTCTCTGGTTCAAATATCTATAAATCTGTTTTTCTAACTTTGGAAGCTGAAATCTATGAATCCGTGGACATGTCCCCAAAATTTTGAATAATCCTTTCTTATTACCATGCTAAGTCTACTAACTAACTAGTTAGTAGTCCCAAAGAGCTCTCCCAAGTGAAACTGATCTTAATAGTCACCCATGAGTGACTAACACCAAGTCAGTTGTTTGTATTTTCTTCTTTTCTATCTCTCACAGAAGTATAAAACTTCATCTTATCTTTGGTCAATTACAATTTAGTTGCCTAAGACATGAATGAAGTGACCTGTGATTCTGCCAAAAAGATAACTTAGTGGCAAGTGCTCTACAGTATCAAGGTGGTATGTGATACAGTACTACCCTGAGTGCTCTCACACATCAATCCATTTAATTCATACTACGACACTTCAGAGTAAGGTACCACCACTGTTACCTTCCTTTAACACAGAAGACAGTGAGGGACCAACAGGTATAATTTAGGAGAAGGAGGGACCACTGTGTACTAGAGTAGGCTGGAAAGGAGGAGGCAGGCTCCACTGCTCTGGCTTTAAAGCCACACACACAGCACTGCTACTGTACCTGAGGGAAGATCACCAGGTGAGACAAGGGTCCAGACACCAATGACAAGCAGCATCCTTCCTCATAATGACACTGGAGAAGGAGCTAAAGCTGACTGCACAGTACAGGCCCTATCAGGTACATAAGATAGGGTAAAGAGCTGGAACTACTGTTACAATGACCGGGATGGGAGGAATGAGTGAACACATTACTGACTGGGAAGACTCTCAGTACAGGGGTGGTGAGTGCTGGTATGTAGATGTCCAGGTGTCCACCATGAAAAGGTGTTTACTGAACTTTACTAAGCTAGACATTTTCTATGCTGCTTTCATGGCAGTTACTAATATGCCTACCAAAGGTAATCAATTGCTTGCTTTCTTCTAGAAAATACACAGACCTTGGAATGTATCATTCCAATCACCTGCCTCCAACGTTACATGAGAAGTGTCTATTATTTTACACCTTTTAAAAATATGCTACCAAAATTGGCATCATTATCTTTCTATAAACTACTACTCTCTGTTAGATTTGCCCATGTGTTTACTTGTATCTGTGCTCATCACTTCTTTCTGTACTTCACACTGTTCTTCAGAGGCCATTTCAATCACTTCTGGAAGTCTATCTTTAGAAGTTCCTTCAGTAAGGGTCTTCTAAATTCTAATTCTTTTTTTTTTTCTTATAGTAAACTATGTACATTAATGCAATCATGGGGTCCACTAAATTCTAATTCTTATGGATATATAATAGTTGTATATCTTTACAGTATACATGTAATGTTTTGATGCAGCCATATAGTATCATTTAATCCAATCAGGGTAATTGGGGCATCCGATAGCTCAGGCATTTATCATTTCTCTGTGTTAGGAACATTCCAATTCTACCTTTTTTAGTTTTTTAAAAGTATACCCTAACTTATTGTTGATTATAATCTATTTCTGATTTTTGTTTAGATAAAAAGGTCTTCATTTCATAAAAAAATTCTGAGTTGACAATTGCTTTTCCTTATAAAGATATCATTTTGCTATCTTTTGTCTACCATCACTGTTGGTAGACATCTACCAACACTACCAACACTCTGAGTCTAAATGTTTTCCCTAAGCATGGGTTTTTAAAAATTTATTCAGCCTGGTGTTCTCTGGGCTTCCGATGAGTCATTTGGACCAGTAGTCATTATGCCTTTGAATGCTGTCTCTCCTCACTGTCTCTGCTATTGTAATCTCCTAATACTCCACTCTGACTTCTCACTCATTCCACTTGTGTCTTAACCATTCTTTCATATTCCCCACCTCTTTGTCCTTCTGTGCTAAACACTGTAATTTCATCTCTAGTACTGGTTGGCCACCCAGATCCCCAAATGCCCTGAAGGTTTAGCAGTCCCAAGGTCAGCTCACCTCCTGAGATCTGCCCTCAAGTTTTATTTCTAGCCTAACAGGATTTCCCTGCCATTGTTCCAGGGTCATTGATTCATTTGAAAAATGTTTAAAAATATTTTATCTATCATTTTTCAATCTTTTATAATGGGAGAGTTTCAGAACCTGTAAGTCATCATGTTGAGAAAAATAGACTCTCTGGTTCTTTTATCTTCCCTTTTTTCTAAAAAAAAGAATTTATTCACCAACTTTGTAATCTAGGAAGAATACTTTTGGAGCAGGATATAAGAGACAATGGAGGTGAGGACAGGGAGAGAGAAACCAGAACAAGGGGACCCAGTAAGGAAGCTATTTCAAGAGCCCAGATGAGAGAGAAAGGCCAGACCATGGATAGAGTTGTATAATAAATTAAGATGAAAAAACGAAAGGAAAGTGAAAGGTGTTACAGGTAACTGAGCATCCACACTGCAGTGTACGTTCTGTGTGATCCACACAATCCTTTCAGGTAGAGATCATCGCTTCTATTTCATACTCATGTCTCATTATTAACTATATCTGCAGTTCTGAAAGGTAGAGCGAGCTGCCATGGAGGCTATGATCTGAGTCAGCACAGTTCAGAAAAGGAGACATGTTTCAAGGATACATGGAAAAGGAGAAACCACCTAGGCTACAACCCTTTGCAATGGTCAGGTCTGCTACTCCAGTGCCCTGGACACTTAAGGCAGCAAAGGAGACAATGGGACAGGAGAGGAACACAAGCCAAGTGCTTTCTCTAATCTCACTTACCTCTAGTGCTTTCAAAGGCATCCCTCATCTGAGCTACAGATCAAAGAATAGAGCAGTGGTTCCTAACCTTCCTAATGCCACAACCCTTTAATACAGTTCCTTATGTCGTGGTGACCCCAACCATAAAATTATTTTCGTTGCTACTTCATAACTGTAATTTTGCAACTGTTATGAATCGTAATGTAAATATCTGATATGCAGGAGACCCCCAAAGGGGTCACGACCCACAGGTTGAGAACCCCTGGAATAGAGGCTCAATCTCTGTGTCTGCCCTCTCCGGTGCTACTGCGTAACATTTTTGCAGAATCATTATCCTTTACCAATAATAATTGTAGTACTAGTAAGAGCAGCTAATGTTTACTGAGCACATGCTGTTT